GCGGTGGGAGGGGCAGGGGGTGGGGGAGGGGGGGGAAGACTGACTCTGTTTGGGGGTGATGGCTGATGGTGATTGTGCTGGTGCTGGTGCTGGTGCTGCTGGTGTTTGTGGTGGTCTGGCTTGGTGGTGCCGTTTGCGGTGTCGGGGGGCTGGCCTGGCGGGGGACACAGTGGGAGTTCTACTGCCGGCAGTGGAAGGAGGGAGCCCACCATCGCGTGGGCAAGGCAACAGTGCTGACCCATGCCAAGCCCAAGAAGCTGGAGAAGCTCAAGTCGTACAAGGAACAATTTTTCTGCTCGGATTGGAAGCGCATCGAGTGGTTTGATGCTCCGGGTCTCAAGCGCCCGCGCGGTGGCATCGACTACAAGTTCATCCAGGACGTGGTCACGCCATCAGCAGCAAAGGTGCCGAGCGAGGCTCTGTTCTCATTCGACATTGTTCATTTGGAGGACAAGAAAAAGAAGCCCAAGACCCTGCGCCAGACCATCATCGTCATCGAGGAGGGCGCGCGCCGCGACGCTCTCAAGTTCTACCGCGACGTCCGTGAGACCTGGCTCAAGCATCCGTTCACAGTCCGCGACAAGGGCGTGACCTGCCCGGGCAAGCCGCCGGTTGAGCCGCATGTCCTCGCCAAGCCCGACACCTCGCCGGCGCCTATTGAGATCGAGGGCTCGTTCTCACGCGAAGCTCCAACGCTCGTCACCGACTTTGTTGTCCCGCCCGGAGGCGGCCTCATTGTTGCCGCCGAGGAGGAGCACGGCATCCAAATGTGGACCGGCTCCAATGCGTCGTATACGATGCAGTATGCCGAGGCCGGTGCTGGCTCTGTCGGCGCCCTTGACCACGCCCTGTATGTTGACGAGCATGTCGTCGGCGTTGGCTACGCCTCGGGCCGCATCCAGGTCTTCCGCATGGAGTCGGCATCGCTCACGCCGTTCCTCTCGTTCGAAATGGGCGACCTGTCCGACGGCGTCACCATCACCCATCTCCGCATGTCGTCCTCCCCGCACATTCTCTTTGCTGCTGCCGGCAACAAGCTCGGCTGCTTTTCTATCGATTCGGGCGAGCAGGTCGCCATTGTTGAGACTCCGAGCGTCATTACTGCCCTTGACGTTGCTCCATCGAGCTCGGGCGGCACCATTGCCGTCGTCGGCATGTCCGGCGCCGGTGGCGCGGCAGCTTCGGTCCTCCTCTACGATTCAGCGACCATGGCGAACGGCAGCCCGTCGCTGGCCATGGCCGGCCACACCGATGTCTCGATCCATGACTCAGTCGTCTACTCGGCCCGCAACGCCATGGTCTTCTCCGTCGCCGCCGACGGCAAGGTGCTGGGCTGGTCGATGGACTCGGCCGCGCCTGCCGCCGAGGCCTCGCCCGCTGGCGGTGCTGCTCTCAAGTGGCTGGCCGTAGCCAGCGAGGCGTCGGTTGCTGCTGTCGTCACCGCCGACGGCTCCGCCATGCACCTCCTCCGGACGCCCACCCTCGAGACTATTGCCTCGTTTGAGCTGGCCAACCTACCCGCGACTGCGCCCCAGTTTGTCAAGGGCTCGACGCTGGTGTACAGCGACGGGAGCAAGGTTCTGATCACTGACGCCTCGCACTCGCTTCCGTTTGCCATGATCGAGACCGAGGCTCCAGTGGCCAAGGTCATCTACGTCCCGGCCACCGCCCAGTTGACCATTCTCGGCGCCGATGGCTTTGTCCGGCTTGTCACAAAGCTTCAGATGCGGGTCGAGGCCTGTGCCCGCGACTTTGAGAACAAGCTCACGGCTCTGGAGCGCTGGCGCGAGAAAACGCCAAGAACATCGAAAAGCTCGAGGTGTACCAGGCCGAGCTCGCCGAGTACACAGCAAAGGTTCAGGCCTTTGAGCAGGCCACTGCCGCAGGCAATCCGTAACCCTTCGATAAACACTCCCGCACATATCACCCTCCCATCGCCCGACTCGCGTCCACAGAGAGCGGTGCTGAACAGTACGGGCACCGGCCAAAGAGAGTGTGAAAGGCCTGTCGGACCGACGGCAGCGATCGCATCCAATCGACGAGGCATCCGAGATGGAACGGCCGCCCACACTGCGGATTTTGACATGGCACATCTGGCCCATTCTCACCGCCCTCGGTGCTGCTCTCGTTGCTCTCGCCGCCCACGCTGTACGAGTAGCAGATCCCGCACTCGAGCTCCGAGATCCCGTCGCCGGCAATCCCAGCCGCAGGTCGTGCTGGCAGACATGTCTCCAGAGCCGCTTCGAGCTTGTCCTTGAGTGGTAGGTTAGGCGACGCCGGCCAGGACGCCGCGTTGCGGGCTAGTGCCTTGCGTAGCGGCTCGATCCGCGCGTTTGCACCCATGAACTTGATCCGCGGCAGCGCATGTGGGTTGAGCGGATCGAGCTGGATGTGCATCGACATGTGGTTGCCGAGCGCTAACCGCCGCGCAAATGAGCCGCGATGTGGTGTGGTAGGTTCGAGAACGTGGCAACATCCATCAAGAGCGTCCATCACTCGCCAGAACGGCACATACTGGGCCAGTGTCTCGCGGAAGGCGGCCAAGATGGCGGCCAGGTCGAGGACGCCTGGCTCGAGCCGAGGCTCAAATGGGATAGCTGCGGCAGCGGCCACCGCCCATCCGGACGCGCCCTCGGGCCGGACTACAAGTTCGAGCTCGTGCTCGCGTCCATCGTCGTCGCCAGCCACCAGCACAATGCGCCCGGCCTCTGCGTCGAGGCTCTTGAGCACGCCCCATCCAACCTTGTCCAGCTCGGCCACAAGAGCGGCATAGACCCGCGACTCGGCGAGCGACGCAATCCGCGGCTTGCCCTCGGCCTCGACCGCCGCGCGTGCCGCTCTGCATGCCAAGTGCTCCACTTCTTCCACAAACGTCTGTGCGTCTGCCGCTGCCGCCAGCCGGGCAGCTACCGCCCCCCTCGCACCGGCCAGGCACGCCGCCAGCTGTGGGTCCACAGCCACTGCCCTCGCCTCCGGTCGACCATCAGGAAGCCACACCGCAAGCCTATGCACAGCCTCGCCCACCCGCACAAGCCCTACCCATCCGCCTTGCTCCGCGTCGACCTCCACCACCACCGGTCGGCGACTGGTCATGCCCTGGAGAGGGGTGTGCTCGCTCACAGCAGATGGCCAGTCTGAAAAAGGTCGTGGTTGTGGGGAGGGAACACTCGATGAGTCATACCAGCCAATCGTAGAAGAGGAAGGGGAGAGGGAGGGAGAGAGGTTGATATCTGATGTACGCTATTCTAGCAGGGATTAGGGTGCGAATAAGACAACCTGCTTTAGCTTCTCATCTCCTTCCACCCAACTAAGATCCGCTTTTGTCCTCGTGAAAGGCTGACAACTTGTGATCTCTCTTTTCTCTGCCGTTCACACCAGCTGAAGAACTGTACAGAACAGATTATCCCTGCCTCCTCTCCAGAGCTCCTCCGCCCCCTCCCTCTAATATTGTTGTCCACCCACATATCCATTGCATCCAATCCATCCTAGTTCACCGACACTAGGAGATGGAGGCACTTGACGCCTGTACCCGTGGGATGCTGTCAGGATCACCCTCTTTGGCACGCCATGTGGCTGGCCCTCCCCTTCCTCCCCCCACACGCTGTTCACCTCAGTACACTCCACGCAAACCCAAGACATGACAGGTGCGATACAAACGGCGGCGGTGATGGCGGTGGTGGTGCTGGTGATGAGCGGAGCGAGTCACTGCGCCGCGAGTGTTGTGGGCCACTCGCTGCAGATGGACGAGGCCTCGGGCGCGGTGCTGACCATCCGTGAAGGGACGCTGCTTCTGGGCGAGAGGGCCATTCCGCGGATTGTGTTTGAGGCGTCTGGTCCAGGCATCAAGTCGATCGCTGGTGTGCAGACTTTGGTTGTGCCGTCGACTGCTGCGGCGTTCTCGGTCCTTTACGTCAACGAGCTCGAGGCCAACGAGACCACGGTCCACATTCACGGCCAGACTCCGCCACAGAACCTGGATGGCGTGCCGTACCTCTCGGCGCTGCCGATCCGACCCAAGCGATCACAGTATGTGGCGTACCCCCTTGTTGGCAACAATCTCGGCGCCAACACTGGGACGTACTTTGCACACGGTCACTTTGGCTACCAGCACTCGCTCGGCCTCGCCATGCCGGTCATTGTCAAGGGGCCGCCTCCTGCAGGGTATCCCCTCCTTGCAGCACTTGATGCTGCAGAGGACGTAGTTGTCTTTCTTGAGGACGTGTGCCCGTACTTTGCCGACGATCCGTCCACCAATCCAACATGCACCGAGCCGTTTGAAGTCTACGCTCGCCTTGTCGATGCCTGGGCCGACGAGGCTGCGTCGTTCAACTACTCGCAGTGCATGGAGCCAGCGACTGGAACGGATGTGCTGTACCGGTATCAGACTGCCAACTCGCGGCTGGCATCCGATCCAGCCGTGGTCGAGGCTGTGCCTGGCGGAAAGCTGCGGTTGCGGTTTATAGCTGCGTCGGGCATGACCAACTACCGCATCGTTCTCCCACCGGAGGTTCGGGAGACCGCTCGTGCAGTGGCGGTCGATGGACAGTGGATTCTTCCGCTGGAGCCGGGCAGCGACGGTGAGTTCTGGCTCGCGGTGGCGCAGCGGCTCGATGTGCTCATTGAGGCCCCACAGACGCCCGGGGCGTATCCGGTCTTTGCTCAGGCCGAAAGCCTAGAGCCAGGCTCGCTGCAGTCAGCCATCACGATTGTTGTCGGTGGGCCGGCACACATCCCTGCTCCGGGTGTGTACTCGGTGACCACCTCAATTCCGCCTGGCATCATGAACTTTGCGCAGGAGCTGCGGCTGCAGGCGTACCGGCTCGGTGGCACCGATGAGCTTCCCGATTTCGCGCAGCCGGACAAGCTGTTCCGTCTGGAGCTGACTGGCGACAACGGATTCAACTCGATCAATCGTGCGTCGTACCAGCTGGTTCCGTTCGCACCACTGCCGTACTCGGCCAACCCCAACGCGCTGGTGGTTGATCTGGGTGACAAGGTTTGCATCGACTACGTCAACTTCAATGCTGACCCGCATGCCATGCATCTGCACATGCACTCGTTTATGGTGGTGGAGATTGATGGGCAGCCGGTGAATGGGGCCATTCGCGACACGCTGCTTATGGCGCGTGGCGGATGCCACTCTGCTCGCATCTGCTTTGTGGCCGATGCCCCTGGCCCCGCGCTTCTGCACTGCCACATGAGTTTTCACCTCTTTGCCGGCATGGTGACGACGGTCGAGTACTCGTCGACCGCTCGGGTGGCGCCGTCTTACACCGCGCCGATGGGACTTGTCCCGCGGCCCGCGGCCTCTACCGCGCCGACGTCCCCCGCCTCGATCTCTCGGGGCGAAGCCGCTGCAATTGGCCTCTTTGCCTTTCTCGTCTGTTCCATCCTCGCTGGCGTTTGCTTCTTGGCGGCCCGCTGGTGGAGCAGACGGGTAGACTCATCCCCACGCTGGCCACACTCCTCCCCGGCTGGCTCCCCGCTTGTCGCTGTCCGTCCGCTCCGCCGCACCGGCTCTACCTCATCGTCGCACACCTCGCACACCCTCACACCCGACACGTGAACGCCCACCCACGTTCGTAAAAGCCAGAGAACTGCGCCGATCCGTTGTTGGGCTGCCTCGGGCATCGACCTTGTCTGCCTGTCGGGCAGTGTGTCACATTGGCCTGCCATCGTTCGCACGTGTCTCGCTCCCGCCAGCAGGAGCAAGGTCTTAGCCGCGCCCCCCCCCCCCCAACGCGAGTCAGCTCACGCCACCAGACCTCTCACCCAAGAACTTTGACGAGGAGAGGGAGCGAAGCAGGAGAAGAGGCAAGGGAGCCGTCGGGAGTATGTCATCAGCAGCTCGCAGCAGCCGCAGTCCGGGAAAGACGACAGCAACTACAACAACCACGACGACAGTGGGTACGGGGCGACAGAGATTGGTGGAGGAGGCACGTCGACGATGACAACCGAGACGACGGGAACAGTAAGGACGATGGAGACGACAGGAGGTATGGGTGAGGTGGACAGGCGGTTTCTTGGCGAGCTGTGGGCGCTGGCCAAGGTGGCGGTGCCGTCAGTCGGGTCGAAGCAGGCGCTGCTGCTGATGGCCCACACGGCGGCGCTGGGCGCGCGGACGCTACTCTCGATCCGCGTGGCACAGCAAGACGCGGCTCTGGTGCGGAACATTGTCTCAGGTCGCAAGCGGCAGTTCTTTCTGGAGCTGGCCAAGTGGCTGGCGCTAGCAGTGCCGGCGACCGGGTGCAACGCGCTGATCAAGTACCTGGAGGACTCAGTGGCGCTGGCGTTCCGCTCGCGGCTAGTGGCCCACTTTTACTCGGCGTATACCGCCGATGAGACGTACTACCGGGTTGACAACATGGACACCCGGCTCGACTCTGCGGATCAGTGCTTGACCGATGACATTGCGTCGTTTTGTAGCAACCTGGCCTCGCTCTGGTCGCAGATCTCCAAGCCGCTGCTCGACCTGCTCATTCTCTCGTTGACGCTCATTGCACATGCGCGGTCGCGTGGGCTCAAGCCGGGCTTTATTCCTGCGATTCTGGGCTTTGGCGCCATGTTCTCGACCGGCCGCATCCTGCGGTGGGCCTCGCCGCCGTTTGGGGCCATGGTGGCCAAGCAAGCGGCGCTCGAGGGCGCGCTGCGAACAGCGCACGCGCGGTTGATCTCGTCTGCGGAAGAGATTGCGTTTCAGGGCGGGCATGCGCTTGAGGCGAGCTACCTACTTACGGCGTACTACTCGCTGGCAAAACACTTGCGGTTTCTGTTCAAGGAGCGGATCCTGTACAACATGCTCGAGGGATTTCTGCTCAAGTACGTCTGGTCTGCGGTGGGCCTTCTGATGGTGGCGATTCCGTCGTTCAACGCCGACGAGAGCGCAGTGGCAGCGTCGGGTCTTGACCCGGATGACGTGTCGATGCGGACCGAGGGCTTTGTCTTTGCCAAGAAGATGCTGCAGTCGCTGGCGGACGCAGCGCAGCGGTTGCTGGCGTCTTACAAGCAGCTGAAGGAGCTCGCGGGGCGGACGGCGCGTGTCTCGCACATGTCCAAGGTCTTTTCGGACGTTGCCGACGGAGTGTACGTCAAGGGTGACGCTTCGGAGTGGACTGATAAGCGCGGGCAGGTGGAGGTGGGCGAGTACATTTCGTTCGACAGTGTCCCGGTTGTGACGCCGACCGGTGACGTTCTTGTTCGCGAGCTGACGTTTGCCATTGCGCCTGGCAACCACTTGCTCATCACGGGGCCGAATGGGTGCGGCAAGTCGTCGCTGTTCCGAATCCTTGGCGGGCTATGGCCATGCCACGGCGGGGCGGTGGTCAAGCCTGCAGGCACGCAGCTGTTCTACATTCCGCAGCGGCCATACCTCTCGCTCGGCAATCTGCGAGAGCAGATCATCTATCCTGACTCTGTCGAGGTGATGGCGGGCAAGGGGGTGAGCGACGACGACCTTGTGGAACTGATGGCGCGGCTGTCGGTTGATCACATTGTGGCGCGCGAAGGTGGATGGGGAGCGGAGCAAGCATGGGACGACGTGCTCTCTAGCGGCGAGAAGCAGTGCATTGCGATTGCGCGGCTGCTGTACCATCGTCCTAAGTTTGCGATTCTTGACGAGTGCTCGTCGGCGGTGTCGTACGAGATTGAGGAGGCGATGTACGCATCTGCCAAGGCCATGGGCATCACGCTGCTGACAGTGACGCACCGGTCGTCGCTGTGGAAGTACCACAACCGCATCTTGCAGTTTGACGGCGAGGGAGGCTACGTGTTTGGCCCGCTCGACGCAGAGGGGCGGCTGGCGCTTCGCAAGGAGAAGGTGGCCATCGAGGGCCAGCTCATCGACGCGCCACGGATGCAGCAGCGGCTGGATCAGCTGGACGCGCTACTCGCGGCGGCGACGTGACCGGGAGTCACGTCTGCGACTTGGGTCGAAGACGACGACTCGTCGGCGTTGTCGGTGTCGGCCGAGACAAATTCGTACTCATCGCTGGATGAGTCTAGGTCTTCACCACTTTTGACGATTTCGAGGTTGCGCTTGCTGGTCTCCAGGTCCCAGCCGGAGACGAGACCTTCGTAGGTTTCGGATGGCGGAATGACGGCGGGCTCTGGTGAGAAGGAAATGGAGGACGAGCGGCGACGGCCTGGGCCGCGACGCGAGAGCCGTTCTGTCAGTAGGTTGGCGGCCTTGCCCTTGGCTCTGAGCTGGGTAAAGTGGTCGGAGGCCTTGGCAAGGAACTGATCCAAGCCGCCGTCGACGTTCTGGAGGGTAAGGCTGAGCAGAGAGCTGACTTCTTCGGATGCGACGCCGCCATCTTCGTCTTCAAGCAAGTCGTTGGCATCGACCTTGGCGTCCCACGGCGATGAGCCGACCCAGACCAAGAGCGGGACGAGGACGTGGAACGGGATGGACTCGGAGCTCACGTTTTCTGGATCGTTCTCGATAAACGCGGCTATGACAGCATCGACTGAATCAAAGGTGACTCGCGGCACGTCGCGCGGCAGCGACTCGTCGGACTTGGCCGAGTGCAAGACAAACGGAGCATCGTCGTCCGACTCGTCGGCCGAGACATCAGAGGCGTGCAGCGTGGTCGACAGGTCAGACTCATCGAGTGGAAGCGAGCGGAGCGTCGACGCGACATGATCGACAATGAACGAATCGCGTTCGAGGCTCTCGTTGATGGCCATCAGCGAGTCCTGAACGGCATTCAGGCGCTCGTTCACAGGGACGGACACCAGGTCGTCGAGGCGGGCGTGGATGCCTGTGAGATCAAAAGCAGCGACGAGCTCGTCGAGGCGGGCATTGACGTGGGTGAGGTCTGGGCCGGAGTGGGCGATGAGTGAGTCCAGCTTGGCCTCGACGCCGGAGAGGTCGATTTCAACTCCTGCCGCCGGCTCGGGCGCAGGCCGGGCCATCAGTTCGTCCAGCTTGGACTCCACCGTAGAAAGATCCACCTCGGCAGCCGCCGCTGGCTCGGGCACAGGCCGGGCCATCAGCTGGTCCAGCTTGGACTCCAATCCCGACAGGTCCACCTCGACAGCCGCCGCTGGCTCGGGCACAGGCCGGGCCATCAGTTCGTCCAGCTTGGACTCCACTCGCGACAGATCCACCTCTGGCACAACCATAGGCTCGGGCGCAGGCCGGGCCATCAGCTCGTCCAGCTTGGACTCCACCGTAGAAAGATCCACCTCTGGCACAACCATAGGCTCGGGCGCAGGCCGGGCCATCAGTTCGTTCAGCTTGGACTCCACTCCCGACAGATCCACCTCGACAGCCGCCGCCGGCTCGGGCGCAGGCCGGGCCATCAGCTCATCCAGCTTGGTCTCCACCGTAGAAAGGTCCACCTCGACAGCCGCCGCTGGCTCGGGCGCAGGCCGGGCCATCAGCTGGTCCAGCTTGGACTCCACCGTAGAAAGATCCACCTCAACAGCCGCCGCTGGCTCGGGCACAGGCCGGGCCATCAGTTCGTCCAGCTTGGACTCCACTCCCGACAGGTCGACGACAACGTCGGGCTTGGCCGCCAGATCATCGATACAAGACGCCTGTCCATCTACAAGGCGGGCAATAAGATCCACTCGCTCGCCCGTGCCCATGACAACATCTGCGAGCTGCTCTAGCTGCTGTGCCACGGACGCGATCTGTCCCGCGAGCGGCGCAGTGACGGCCATGTGGCGGGCGTGGGTCTCGACCAGCATGTCCAGCCGCGCGTTCAGTGCCGCATCCACTTCGGCAGCAACCCGGACCGCAATGCGCTCCTCCAGATCTTCCAGGCCGGCCCGAACCTGGGTCTGCTGCTCCCGCTCGGCAGCAACGCTTTGCACCACCAGCGATAAATCCGCGCCGCTCTTGTTCATGCTCTCCTTCAGGTTGGCGAGCTCGGCAAGGACACGCTCTTCCAGATGCGCCGCCCATGAGGCACCCACCGATGGAGAAGAAGTCCTTGATTCTCGAGCCGAGGCGCGCAGCCTGCCTGTCCGCGGCGAGCTGACCGATCCACCCGGCGGCGTGCTCGGCGGAGTGCCCGCCGGCCCAGGTGGCGGGACCGGCCTCTGTCCACCGCCCTGTAGCTCTTCATGCAGCCGCGAACATTCTTCCTCCTTGGCCCGCAGCTGGGTCAGCACCCTCCGCAGTGTTGTCCGGTACTTGTTCGTCAGGTGCTATGTATCCCTCACGTATCCCCCCAACCCATGTATGCCCCGCTACCGTGAGCAGACTCGCCCGTGCCACAGCCCCCCCCACCGCCCCCCCCCCCCCCCCCTCCTCCTCCATCTCCATTCCTCCGATCCCTTTCTTTTCCCCCATCCCCATCATATGGGATTCCGCTTCTTGTCGAACGAACATGGTTGGCTAGCCCCGAACAACACGAGCGAAGAGCCAGCCAAACCAACGACATGGTTGGCCAGTCGAACGAGCCCATAAACGCATTGTTGGCCAGCCAAGCGAGCGCAGACTAGCAGTACGTTGGCGGCTCACTTGCGTTGGCATGATGCCTCCCCCTCCTCCTCCTCCTAGCGCACCCTCGGCTCAGATCCTGCCTTCCAAGCACACTCTCCATCGACCGCCATCGCCCGAATGTACAGACCACCACCACCACCACACACACCAACATACACACGGAGACACGCGAACACACACACACACACACACACAGACACACACACTTTATCTCTCTTTCTATCAACTATGTGGTGTGGTGGGGGTGGGGGTTTGATCGCGTGGCGGCATCTGCTCATGTCGCCTCGAAAAAACACCAACAACACGCTTCTTGTGAACTGACTCCACCAACACCTGACAAGCCGAGGCATCACCTCACCGTCCCTACGCTCTACCTCTTCCCCTCCTCCTCCCCCTTCCCCCCTCCTGTGCAACCCCAAGCCTACCTCCCATACTCCCTTCTCATGTCTGCAGGTACGGATAGACATACGACATCATTCCCTCTCATTGCACCTCTCCACCACATCTCCCTATCTCCATACTCACATCACCACCTGCTGGCGGTAACGACGGCTAGGATTCGTGCCGGCCACGCCAGACGCACCGTGCAAGGCGTGTGGCAAGGCCTTTCAAGAAGGTCAGATTCCTATGAAGTGTGGAGAGGATCGGTATCATGTGGCTTGCTTCCATTGTGCTTCGTGTGATGCCATCCTTACAAAGGTTGTCTTTATCGAAGAAGTCATCATGTGCCCACCCTGTGCCGCTGACTATCGAGCCGACCAGAAGCGCCTCGCTGACGCCGCCCTTGCTTCTCAACTTCACAATTGCGCCGCGTGCGGCGATCGCATCGAAGGCGCCGAGCTGTTTGCTCTCGACAAGTACTGGCATGGCATGGGCTGCTTCACATGCGGCTATTGCGCCCGCGATTTGTCCACAAAGTTCGCCGTCGCCGATGGCGTCGCCTACTGCAACCAGGGCTGCTTTGAGCACGCCCAGGCCGGCGATGCGCCTCCAGAGCCCCCAGCATCCACCGACGCTGCTGCCGCCTCTCAGACGCCTGCTGGCGACCAGCCTGCTGCATCTGTCAGTGAGGGCGAGCCAGACGATTGCTACGCGTGCGCCAAGCCTGTAACTGACAGCAAGTCGATGCGGGTCCCGCCGCTCGGCCGCTTCCACATCGACTGCTACGTCTGTGGCGCCTGCACCCAGACCATCGGCACCAACATTGTCGCCCGTCCACCGGCCTCGGAAGGCGAAAAGTACCGCCTATTCTGCTGCGATGCCTGCGCCGAGGCTGATGCCGTTGTCGAGGCGTAGCTAGGCTGCCTGTAAACCCACTTGTCGCTTCGTGCTCGTTGCACGTCATGGATGACAGTCTCTTTGCCGAGCTCCGCAGCGGGAATACCACACTTCGGACAGGCCGTCAACACATTCGCCTGCAGCTACCGGAACTCCTGCGTGCGGCTGCTGCTGCTGTAGAGTGCAACGCCGACGTAGGCGGCCCACAGCTGGCGGTCTCTGTCCCAATCGGAGCCAGTGTGGGCGAGGCGCTGGCTGCGGCTGCGGCCGAGCTGACCAGCACAGATGGCAGCATTGCTGCCGCCGGTGAGATCAAGCTTGAGCTCCCAAGCCCTATCCATGTCGGCAAGGTGGTTGGCGATGGCGATGGTTGGGGTGCTGCGGTCGGTCGTGGTCCCGCCTCGGCGGAGCCTGGCGGCATGGAAGCTTGGCTCCACGCCCGGACTGTCCAGCACAGTCTGGCGCGGGCAGCCGATGATTTGCCGTCTGGTGCTATTGTCTCGATGGTTGTTCCACCGAGGTGGGCAGCGCGTGGTAGGAAGCTCCTGCTCTTGGCCCACGGCTTTCGCAAGGTCGGTACAGTGCGATCGGCCGAGCTTGACGTCGACGATCCGTTTGTGGCTGGCCAGCTGCAGCGTGGAATGGCGGTGGCAATCACCTCGTATCGTCGCGAGGGCCGCATCGTCCGTGATGCGGTCAAAGACATGATCGATCTTCGCCAGTGGGCGGCCAACCATCTGCCGCAGCCGCCTGTCCGGGTTGTGGTTGAGGGCCGGTCCATGGGCGGCGCCGTCGTGGTCCACCTCGCCGAGTCGGCAGCTGCCGCCGAGTTTGATGGCATCGTCGCCATCGGCGCGGCCTTGCTTGTTTGTGAGGACGACGATGAGGGGTATGCCTTTAGTCACGCGCCGCGGCTCCCGATCGTCTTTCTGGCCAACGAGTCCGAGGTCTCTGTTGTCGACAGCTATGTGGAGCGGGTGGTGGCGGTCGCCAACGCCGAGGCCGCTGATCGCGTCGACTCGGGCATTGTGGTCCCGGCAGTTTGGCAGGTTCCACGCGATGGCCACAACCTTGTGGCTTGGCTGGAGCGTTCAACAGCACACGACAAGCTGGCGACATGGGTGGACCATGCGTCGCTGGTCACTCTCCGTCGGCGTCACATCCTGATGGAGCCGCCACTGGTCGGCGAGACTGCGGTACCGGTCGGTAGAACCAAGATCCGTGCTGTTGTTGGTGCTGTCCATCCAGTCCACCGCTCGTTTGTCCTGGACGTGACGCGTGCACGGCTTGGTGACCTTGGTCATCGACCAGGCAAGGCGTTCTCGCTCGCCACCGCCGGCGAAAGTGCCCTTGTCCGCGTCTTCTACTCGACCTATCCGTTTGGCGATGTGCCGGCGGATGCCTTTATGGCGTACAACCACCCTGACGGCCACATCGTCGTCACTCAGAAGGGCTGGTACAAAGTCCACACCCCCGCCGATACTCTCGGCCTTGTCCCAGGTGCCATTGTCACCATCGGGCCGGCGCTCCCAGCCTCGGCCACCGACACGCTGCCAAATCCCCCTGCCGCCGCATCCGGGGCCTCGTCGTCGGCATAGCCTCCAGGCCTGTAGGCAGGACACTGTGGCCATTTCAGCTCTACCAGCTCCACCAGGCAGCGCAGGTACCGCTACGGCCAACATACGCCTCCGATTATCCTCTTCCCAAACTCTGATCTGTCCGCCAAAGCAAAGCGCGCGACTCTGTGTGCAACAGCGATGCGCCCAATGCCCGCCAGCCCGACACCATTCAGCGGTCGCAGTTGGGCCAGCCCCCCCCCCCCCCCCCCCCCCCCCCCTTGCCACCCCCACCCCAGACACCAGACCCCACTCCTCCCGCCCCCGCCCCGACACCTTGTCACCCCCCATTCCACTCTCTTCTTCCATTATGGATACGTCGGCGTTTGCGTCGTCGACGTTCTCGCCTGTGACGTGGGTCAACCGTGTGCTGGCCGAGGGTGAGGCACTTGCTGACCCTCTTGCTGTCCACCTGGCCGTCGTCACCTCGCAGCTGGAAATGGCCTATTCCACGCTCTCTGTGCGGACGGATGAGGCTGCTGCTCGTGCGCTGGCGGCGGTTCCTCGGGCCTTGCGTGAGCTCGAGTCCTTGCGCAAGTCAGCGACTGCCCTGGCGGCGGTGACGGCGGCAGCGACGGCAGAGCTCGACGAGCTGGAGGCTCAGACAGGGCCGGCTGTGGCGGAGCTGGGCACGCTGGATGGTGCCCGTGAGCGGCTGGTGGCTTCGGCGCACGCACTCTCGCAGGTTCAGTCGCTCTCGTCATCGCTGGCAGAGATGAACACACTGTTCAAGGCCGGCAACTATGTGGAGATCGCTCACAAGCTCGAGGCCATGAACTCGGCGCTAGAGCTGTTGGCATACATGCCGTCATCAGACGATGTGCGAACCCAAGTCGCCGACTACGCCACTCAGCTGGAGAGCCTGGTGGCGCCGAAGCTGACCTCGGCGCTGAAGGCTTCCGACGCCAAGGCTGTAGTCTCGCTCGTTGCAGTCCTGCGCTCGATCTCACGGTCGGACGAGATGTGGCAGTTCTACCTCCGGGCGCGGGCGTCGTCGCTGAATGCGGCGTGGGGCGAGGTGCCGCGTGAGAGCGGTGGTGACGTCGGCAGCTGGATGGCGAGCTTCATGGCCGAGTTTGTCGAGTGGGTGGCCGGCGAGCTAGCGTTTGCGGGTGCAGTCTTTAGTGAGGACGCATCGATTGCGCCGCCACGTGTTCTGCCGCATCTTGTCCAGTTTGCGCTCGATGAGCGGCAACCGCCGCTAGGCGAGGTTGTTGGCGGCGTGGTTGCCTCGCGCGACCTGGTCCAGGGCTACGCGCTGTACTCGAGCGTCATGACCGGCCTTGCGCTCACGCTTGAGCCGCTGGCGGAGAAGGGCGGACTGGTGAGCGCAGGCGAGCGGCTGGACTCGGACCCTGAGAGGCCAAGGCCGGCGCTCGGGCCTGTGGTGGAGAGCTTTGTGCAACCACTGGCACCGTTTCTGGACGCGCTCGTGCCACTCACGGTCGAGCTGCTCGAGTCGTCGATGGCCGGCGTCATCCAGCGGCACATTCCGTCAAGCCAAGCCGGCTCTGACCCGCGGCCGGGCTCGTTTACCTTTGAGCTCGATGCGTCGCTTGATGGCTCTGCAGCGTCGTCGCTGTACGCCGGAGTGATGCAGGAAGTTGCGCTGGCGGGCGGCGCGCTCTTTGACGAGTTGACAGCGTTGGTGGAAGCCGAGCTTGTGGAGGTTCACGTCTCGCTGGTGGGCGAGCCGGTTGTTGCAGTGCTGTCGGAGACGCTCAACTCATTTGTGGGCAAGATGTTGCAGTTGTTGGAGCTGCTGCGATCGATTTCACCACTGGACAAGGGCAAGACCGGAAGCGACGGGAGCGATGGGCGGAGCGCAGGGCTGGTGTGGGAGTTTTTCCAGGCCTCGATCCGCGGACTCGAGTCTGTGGCAGCACTGATGGAGCGGCTCGAGTCGTTTGATGAGGAGGTGCGCAGAGTGTTGGGCCGTGCGCTGCAGCGAGTGGTGACGCCGGAGCGGTTGGCATGGTGGAGCAGCGTAGAGGAGGCCCAGAACCGCATTGCGCAGGACGGGCCGACTCTGGTGGCGCTGGACGAGCTAGAGGCGGCGTATGGCGGGTATGCAAGCCTTGTGCCGCCGCCCGGCTCTGCATCAGAGCCCGGGCGTGAGCAGGCGCAGCTGGCGCAGTTTGTCGTCCTTGCAGTGACCGAGGGCGGGACGCAGCTGGAGCGAGTCGATCATCTGCGCCGTGCGCTTGGTGAGCCGGGCGCCGACCGGCCGATGACGATGCTTCCGAATCCTGCGCGAGCATTTGCGGGGCTGGCGAGCGAGGTGGTGGGTCTTGCCAAGGCTTTTGCCTTTGCGCCGATCGCCGAGCAGCTGGCCGGTGTGGCGGGCGACGAGGCGTGGCGGGCGGGCGGCGTGCCGCAGCCGGCGTTTTCCATGACGCCATCGGCTTACATTACGCACGTCGGAGATCATCTGTACATGCTACTGCAGCAGCTGGAGCCGTTTGCGGGCTCGCAACGGCTGCAGAGTCGGGCGATGCAGCTGCTTGCGCCGCTCGTGCCCGGCGGCGGGAATGGTGAGGGCGAGGGCGACGCGGGCGGCGAAGGCGGCGACGTGTTCGCGGCTCTTTGGGTGTCTGCCATGGCGCGGACGGCCATGTCGGCGTTTGTGGACGCAATTTTGGAGGTGCCTGTGGTGACGCCGGCCGGGGCGCGGCAGCTCGAGGCCGACATTGGGTATCTCGCCAACGTGGTGGCTGTTCTTGGCGAGCCGCTGGATCCTGCGCTGAGCGATGTGCGGACGCTGCTGCGAGGCGAGGACGACAGCGTGGGGCTTGTCTCCGGGCGGGCGTCGGAGATTGGGCGCGTGCTGGGCAAGGCGCGGGAGGGCGGCGCGTAAACAAAGCGCGGGCGAGTTTAGGTGTGCTTGCGGACACGCTTCTTGCGACGATGGGCACCTGGGGCGTGTCCTGGTTGCAGGGTGGTGCGCGAGACCGAGGAGGGAGAGTGAGAGCGCGAGCGCGAGACGGTTTGCGAGCGCGAGGCTTGGCGCGAGCGCGACTGGACCGAAGCTTTTGCGGACGAGGCCCACTTGAGAAGCTTTGCATGGACAATCTGGCGGCCGTTACCCTGCTGCCAGTTCATGATGGAGAGGACGAGGTTGGCGAGGTGAGTGTCCGGAGCGTCTGAAGTGATCCATGAGTGCTTGAGAGCCTTGGCGGGCGTTATCCGTTTGCTCGGATTGACCTGCAGCATCTTGGAGATGAGGTCCTTGGCCGAGTCTGAGATGCCGGCCCACTCACGCCCGTCGAACGAGTAGTCCGCGGAAACGATGGCTCGGTAGAGCTCGCGGTCTGTGTTTCCGCCAAAGGGGGTGAGGCCGGAGAGGAGAATAAACATGATGACGCCTGCGGACCAGGTGTCGACGGCTTCGTTGTAGCGCCGTTGCAACAAGATCTCGGGCGCAACGTAGCCCGGCGAGCCGCAGGCGACGGTTAGCAGTTTGTCGTGGTCAATGACGGCGCTGAGGCCAAAGTCTGCGATCTTGATGGTGATGTCGCCGTTGGCATCCTCGTGATACAGCAGGTTTTCCGGCTTGAGGTCGCGATGGACCAAGTTGAGGCTGTGCATGTGTGAGAGTGCTGAGAGAAGCTGCTTCATGATGGTAGCCGCAGTGGCCTCGGAGTAGTGGCCGCGCTCGATGATGTGGTCAAAGAGCTCGCCGCCGTCCACCTTTTCCAGCACCATGTAAAAGTGGTCTTCCGACTCAAACACCTCGTACAGCTTGATGATGTTGGGGTGATTGACCTTCATCAGCACCTTGATCTCAATGTCCAGATCCTCAGGCTCAAAGTTGGACGCCCGGGTGTCGATGGCCTTGATGGCCAGCTCGGCACCATCCGACTTGCGGGTAGCGTCGTAGACTTCAGCAAATGAGCCCTTGCCGAGCAACGATCCAAAGATGTAAAAGTTGCCGATCGGTTGCTCGTAGTGTTGTGCTATGTCATCCGCTGCGCCGTGATGGACCGAGACTGCTGGACTCTGACCTCCATCGGCTTGCTCAACGGCATGTTCATCGAGCTCCTTCTTTGGTGCCGGCACGGTTCCCTGTTCAACCGAGCTCTTGGACGATCCACAGCCCATGATGACACTGGTACTTATATAGAGTATCCACAACAAGTGCGTTGTTGAAGATATCCCCAATACAGTACCTTCTACGTTCGTATCAACAAACTCGTTGACCCCCTTTTAGCCGTAGACCGTTGTCTCTCCCACAGAAGGTGCGGGCGAGTCAAGGTTGGTGACTCGTAGCGTTCCGCAAAGCGTCAAGGACAAACAAGGTCCGACCGAGGAAATATGTTTGAGGATATACGCCGTATGAGTGTGATTGTTTGTGTAACACTTGGTGTATGTGTGTGTGTGCGTGCGTGTGTGTGCGTGATTGTATGTGCGTGTGTGTGAGTGGTGCTGTGTGGTGGGAGAGGAGGTGAACGAGAGGTGTCGTCACGCCCGTTGAAATCTTGATCGCTTTAGGCTGGTGGGGCGAAGCCGTGCACGTGCGAGCTCGGCTCGTGCAGGTGACCAATGAAACTGTTTCGCACACGGTAACGTGACAGGAGGGAGAGGAGGGGGAAGGGCGGGGGGTAGGGGATTGAAGGTGGGAGAGGTGGATGTGTGACTGAGAGATCGTTCCGGGTTTGGGTGTGTGGTATGTATGCTGTTGTTGATGCGCCCAGCGTGGGTGGTATCGGTCGGGGTTGATGCGATGGGGAAAGGAGGGGGAGGGGGAGGGCTGTGCTTGGGTGATATGGCAAAGAAGTGATGCGTGTCAAGACAATACCTGTGGGTGGGCTGATGTTGTGGGTGATTTGATGATGGATGTGGAGCATCGCGTGGTCACCAACGGCGATCATGCTCATGAGCGCGATCATGATCATGATCGTGATCACGATTGTGATCACCTCGGGGTGGGCTAGCGTCCTTGAGCGGCTTGGTGGCCAAGGCCAAACTAGGTGAAGAGTTGGGCGTGTCATGGATAGCAGTGGGGGCGAAAGAGGTGGTGGCGGGTGGTGTGGACGGCGCGGAGGGGGAGGTGGGGAGAGTCGAAGGAGGGGAGGGCGGGGGAAGGGACTGGGCTGGGATGGGGGGGGCAAGGACGCGACAGGGACAGGGAACGAAGGTGTTTTATTGCGAGCGGAGCATGCGGATGACGTAGGGCGCGGCACGGAGGGCGACGAGGAAGCCTGTGAGGATGAAGAACCGGCGCTTGAGGTTGGCAGTCTCGGCGGCAACGTCAACAGGCTCGCCAAACATGATGTGTGGAGGGAGTTGGGTGGTGGCCTGTGGTTTGAGGTGGCGGACGGGTGGGTGGTCATTTTGCTGCTCATCGTCGCCCAGATGAGGACCACAAACCGGCACTGCCGAGCATGATCGTCACGGTAGTCCACCTGCTCTCCCCTCCCCTCTCCCCCCCCCCCCTTGCATTTCCGACCATGCTCGCTCCTTGGCAGGTTTAGCGTGAACGGCTTCATGTCGAGGCGTAGGCATAGTCGACGCCGGCAATGGGAGAGGAGAGGTCAGCGACAGCAGCGTGTGAGGCGTCGCAGGCGGCCGGGGTGGCAAGGACCGCGGTGTAGGTGCACTTTTCGGGCTCGTCGATGGCGTAGAGTTCATCGTCAGAGCCGCAGACGAGCGCGACGCGGAGCGAGCGCATCGGCCCGTTCCAGCACTTTGCGCCGTTCTCGAAGAGCATCGAGTCGTAGGCCGGATCCCACTTGCCCCACGAGCCGAGGAGGGTTGACGAGCCGCCAGAGAGCGACTTTTGGCGGGCGTCCTTGAACGGGCACACCTCGTACTCGTACTCGCGGGTCTTGAACGACACACACTTGCCGACGAGTGGGAAGAACTCGGCTTCCGGGCCGACATCGAGCCGGGTCTTGTCGTTGGCCTCGTTGGCCTCGCGCTCGGCGGTGTTAAACTCGCGCTGCAGCTCGTCGCGGGTGGCACGTGCGGCGGCAGCGGCGGCGATGACTGCCTCTTCCTCTCCGGGCGGGACGAGGCGGATGCCCTCAACACCATGCTCCTCAGTCTCAAAGGTGTCGAGCGGCTCGAGGGGAGGCGGTGGTGAGGGCGGGACAATGGTTGCTTCCGGGGCAGAGTCCTCAGCCAATTCTTCAACCGAGTCTGAGGCGGGGTCTGTGGGAGCAGAAGCGGGAGCGGCAGCGGCCTCGGCGATGTCACGATCGCGCTGCAGGCGGGCCTGGCGGGCCTTGGCGATCTTCTCCAGGGTCTCTGCATCTGTGGCGGCGGTCTTGGCTGCCTCTAGGCGGTCGCGGAGAGAGTCGACGTCGGAAGCCTTGTCCTGAGCAAGCTGGCGGGCAGCGGCAAGGGCGGCCGAGCCATCGGCGATGTACTGCAGCTTTGCGGTGGCGCCGGCAACGACAACGCGGTTGCGCTGGCGAATGCGGCGGACAGCCTCCTGGCCCTCCTCCACGCAAGTGTTCGGGCATGCGACGCGCGCAGCGGCAGCCTCGTCGGCACCGTCGCAGCAATCGCACACGCCATCGCCGACAAAGGACACAGGCACGTCCTTGGGCATTGAGCCGAGGTTGGGGCAGTGGAAGGTGGCGTGCGGAGTGCGACCGGCACACGCCGCCGTACCGGGCTCATCGGCCGCATCAGCACAGTCGCAGTATCCGTCGTTGATGGCCGACCAGGGCAGCAGCTGCGGCGTAGCATCGGCAGAGCCGTCAGCAGCTACGCACCACACGCCGTCGGCCGAGTACGCCTCGCCGCGGTGCGGCGCAAGGCCATGGACCGCGGCCACAGAGCCGCTGTCCTCGGCTGCGACACAAGCAGCAGAAAGCAAGACTGCCGCTGCAGCCAGTACCACCATACTCAGTCGTCCGGTCGTCCGCCATGCGCCTGTGGTCCGCTCTCTCGTGGGGCTGCCTGCGCCGGCTGCTGGTGATGAGGTCATGGTTCGAGAAGGGTGTGTCGCTGCCGAGCGGCCAACTTGCCGCCACCCATTGTTCAGCCGTAGTGATCGATCACAGCCGAGGGCGGTGTGACAGGCGAGGGCGTGGACCTGGCCCGCGCTTAGGGTCAGCCGCCCCTCCACCCCATACTCGGGCATGATGATCAATGCACATCAGAGTTTTTCTGTGTGGCTGTCCGTGAGCCAGCCGCCAGCCGTGGAGGGGCGGGGTGGAGGTCGGTGTGCCGTTGGTGCAAGAAAAGGTCGTGAAACTGTGTCGCGAGTCGTGAGGGGACATTCAACGGAGACGCAAACACCTCTCTCTGAAGGCCATCATGGACGACGCGCAATGCATCATGTGCGTCGAGGACATATCGACGTATGGTCTCGGTCCGTGTAACCACCGCAACATCTGTGCAAAGTGCACCCTTCGCATGTGCCAGTTCTATGGCCGTACATCGTGCCCGCTGTGCAACGTACGTCTGGCTGTCTGCCCCCCCCCCCTTCCCCCCTTCCCCCCCCTCCTTCATCCCGCCCGCATTGGGTCATTGGTGCTACCGCGCCCTGTTCCTTGGTGTAACAGGCGTGGCGAATCTCCCCGACCTCCTCCTCCCCATCTCGGCTCTCCACCCCACCGTTCACACACCTCGGTCTCCCTTTCCGGTACCGACAGAGCGTGGCAGCTTTGTGGTGGTAGTGGCGGAGGGCAGCCGACCATGCAAGAGGCTCGCACCCAATTTCTGTTGGTTAGTCCTGTTGGAAGACCCGAAAGGGTTCCAAGCCGGGAGCGGTGGAAGGATCAGAGTGGGGGTAGAAGTGAGGAACGAGGCAAGGTAGCATGGGCAGGAGCAGGGATACTCATGGAGAAGGATGCGGGACGGCTTTTAGACATCGTTTGAAACGATTGTTGTGACGACGGATGCGCAGGTGACGTACGACGCGTGCCTGCACGACCGCCGGTATGTGGGCGACGACGAGCTGAAGATGAACGTGCGTTACGAGTCGTCGCAGTTGCGGACACAGTTTAAGAAGATGTGGCAGCTGTACTGCCCTGTGGGCGGATGCAGCGCGTCGATGGGAAAGTCGAACCAGCCGTTTCCCCACGTCCGCAGCCTCCGCAAGCATCTCTCGTCCAAGCACGGCGCGTTCCTCTGCATGGTATGCGAGTCTTCGGGCAAGACGTTCAAATGCGATCTGGAGACGTTTGAGTCCAAGGCGGCGCTCCAGCGGCACAGGAAGACACACCCGATGTGCGAGTTTTGCAACGAGCACTACCTCGACGACGAGGAGCTGTTTGCGCACCTCTCCGAGCAGCACGAGGTGTGCAACCTCTGCGACGAGGCGCACCAGTACTTTGAGTCGCCGGCTACGCTTGCAGAGCACTACTCGAGTGCACACCACCCTTGTCCGCGCGGATGCAATGCTGGGCTGTGTGCGTTCCGCTCCAAGGAAGGCTTGCAGGAGCACATGCTGCGAGCGCATGCATCCGAGATGTCACGGGCGGAGCGGGCACGACTCCGGCAGCTCGACCAAATCGAATTCACCTTTGCTGACAGCGGCGCCGAGCGGGTGAGTGCGGAGACTGCCGACTCGCGGCGGTCGCTTGGCGGCGGGCGCGGAGCGTTCCGCGGACGGCTCCGCGGCGAGCCGACGAACCAGGTCAATGTCTCGTCGCCGTCGTCGTTTCCGCCGCTGCGTAGCTCGACCACCGGCAATGACAACTCTAGCTCTGGCGCTGGCCGCGGGTCGAGTGCGCGAGTGCCGAGCGGACGCGGGGCACCACCGCCGTCGTCGGCCTCGCGGGCCGAGCGGCAGCGGCAGCGGCTCATTGCGGAGCGAGAGGAGCGCGAGGCCAGGAACCGGGCCGCGGCTGCGCGCGATGAGCAGCGCCGACTGAAGGAACAGGCTAAGCGTGACCGTGCTGTCGAGGCCGAGGCTGTGCGGCAGGCGGCTGCTGCGCAGTCGGCGGCTGCTGCTCGTCGGGCGGCGCCAGCTGCCACCCGCGTCTCGCGTGAAGATTATAGGGCTCGTAACAAGCAGATGGTTGCGCGGCTCAAGGCGGCGCTCGGCGGCAACACCACTAAGTTTAAGGCTTTCAAGCTGGCCTCTAAGGAGTACCGCAACTCGGACATTGACGTCGATGACTACTACGGGCGCTTTGTCTCGTTGTTTGGCACCGCAAACGCCAATGCTGTTCTGCCGGACCTCATTGCTACGCTGCCGAACCCAGCCAAGCGTCAGGAGCTGGCCAACTACCACGACTCGGTGCTGGCCGCGTCGGCGGCAACTAACCAGTCGACAGGCTCGTCATCATCCTGGCTTGCTCGGACTGCTGGCGGCGGGGGAGGAGTGGCGGCGGCCGCGGCAGATCGGCACCTTCTGCCGATTCGGAATTCCCGGCTCTCTCGTCGACAGCTTCGTCATCCGCTGCTCCGTCGTGGCCTGCGCGCAACGGCGGTGGCTGGGGCAGCCTGGCAGCAGGATCCGGCAGCGGCGGCAATGGCCGGCGGAGCAAGGTTCTCTTGCGGTATGGATGACGTTTGGTATGATCTCAACCGGCCGTGGTCTCAACCGGCCGCGTGTCGAATTTCGAAGGTTGGAGGTTGACTTGAGCAGCAAGTCCAAGTCGAGTTGGTGGCGGTCAGCTGCCATCGCTTCAACTCCCTTGGCAACACTCTCTTCTCTTGCGGTATGCGTTTGAGGAGTTGGAGTGAGGCTGGGGACCAAGACGGGGACGGGACGGGTGGGGCCGTGCGGTTCCAGGAGGAGGGTGGGAAAGGAGCGATGGAGATGGGCAGTTGAAAGGATGTGCGGCCGCAGTTGCCCACATCCACCCCCCCATCTCTCCTCACATCCCGTCCTTTCACCCACCACCCCACTCCTCCCCCCATCCCACTCCCAAGCACATCAACAACTCTGACACAAATGGCGTGATACGTTTTTCCTCTCTCGACATAAACGCATTGTCGCGACATGTCGCATACCGTTCGCTCACGCTCATCGTTGCAGACATCAGCGATGGTGTGGTACGCCTAGCGCTTTGAACGCTTGCGCGAGCGCGAGGCGACGACCTCCTCCTCCTCGTCCTCCTCGTTATCATACTCGTCGTCCGAGTTGGGCTGCGACTTTGTCGAGCTCCGCTTGCGCTTGGACGACTTTGAGGCCTTGGACTTTGAGGCCTTGGACTTTGAGGCCTTGGACTTTGACGAGCGGCGCCGGGCCGGGGCGAGCGACGAGCCGCCCTTGGACTTTTCGTAGGCGCGGAGGAGGGCGTCGCAGCGGCGGTTGAGCTCGATGGGGGTACGAGACTTGAAGTACCAGTCAAAGCGGAACTCCCAGGCGGAGCGGATGGCAAGCTTGAGCTTGTCCCACTCGCCGTAGCCGAGGTCATTGATCTTGCAGATGATGAAGCGATCCTCGGCAGCGGTGTACATGGACGACTTGGTCTTGATCTCGAGCGAGTGGTACGGGTTACCCGGCGCCTCGGCGACGGCCTGGCGAATGAGCTTGATCTTGGTCGAGTGGCGGCGGAGCTTCTCCTCGCCCTTCTCGATGACGTCGATGACCTTGGGCCACGACGAGAGGTGATCCGGGCCCCGCTCAAAGAAGACCTTTGCGTACTCGCGCACCTCGTCCTCGGTCTTGGTCTCGATGACGCGAGCAATGTCTGCGTACGACTCGCGGCCGTACGACTCGCAGCCGTGGTAGAAACGGGCAAAGTCAACGCGCGACCAGTTGTCAAAGCCCTTGGTGAGGAGCTCGTCGCGGCGCGCCATCTCCTCCTCGGTAAGCGGGACAGCGATCTCGCGGAGCTCCTCGCGGCGTGCGGCGCGGTCCTCGTCGGTCTTGAGCTCCTCGTCGTTGGCGATGACCTCGTCGACGTACTTGGGCGTGTTCTCAAAGCGCCATGCCCAGAGTTCGCGGGCGAGGAGCTCGTGGAGCTCGTCGGGGTAGAACTGATACTCGGCGACAAACGGCTGCTTGGGCGGCCGCGGCGCCTTCTTCTTCTTCTCGGTCGTCGCCTCGGACGAGCGCATGGTCTCGCGGTAGTACTCGTTAATGTTGTACGACGTCCGCTCGCGGCGGCGCTTGCCGAGGTTGATAAAGGTGTGCCCGCCAAAGTCCGAGCGGAGGTTCGACGCGGCCTGCGCCGTGTAGTCAACGCCCTCAAAGACGTTGGTGGCAAAGCTCGACTCCATCTTGAAGCCGTCAGTCGAGCCCGGCGCGCCGAGCTCGACGACCTTATCCGAGAGCTCCTGCGCGTTGGTCTCGCCGGCTGCGAGCGCAGCATCGATGTCGGCCTCGGTGATTTCGTCGGCGTCGCCCGAGTTGAACTGGTAGTCGGCGCCGTAGCGGACAAGCGAGTGCATCTCGTCCTTCGAGAGGCCCTTGGACTTGGGCTGGAGCCGGCCCTGCTGGATGATTTTGGCGTCGAGCTTGAGCTTTTGCATGGCGCGCTCGATGATCTTCTCCTCGATGGTGTTGTCGGCGCAGAACCGCGCGACAATGACCTGCTTCTTCTGTCCGATACGGTGGGCGCGGTCCATAGCCTGCAGATCCATCTGCGGGTTCCAGTCCGAGTCAAAGATGATGACCGTGTCAGCAGTCGCGAGGTTGATGCCAAGGCCGCCGGCGCGAGTCGAGAGGAGAAAGACAAACTTGGACGAGCCTGGCTTGTTGAAATCCTCAATCTGCTCGTCACGGAGGTCGCCGTTGGTGGAGCCGTCGATGCGGCAGTACTCGTACCCGCGCCAGTGGAGGTAGTCCTCGAGGATGTCAAGGAGGCGGGTAAATTGCGAGAAGATGAGCGCCCGCGAGTCGCGCGCCAGGAGCACCTGCAGCAGCTTGTCCAGCAGCAGCATCTTGCCCGAGTTCTTGACCAGGTGGTAGTCGGTGGTGTACGGCGGGCCGGGCTCGGCGCCCTCAAACAGGTACGGGTGGTTGCAGCACTTGCGGAGCTGCATGATGATGTTGAGGAGCCGCGTCTTGGACGTCGCCTTGGTTGTCGAGTTGAGGGCGTCGATGTCGCGCGAGAGGAGCTTGCGGTACCACTCCTTCTGCATCGGCGTCAGCTTGACCTTCATCAGCAGCTCCTTCTTCGGCAGCAGCGACGACTCGACGTCGGCCTTGAGCCGCCGCAAGAGGAACGGCCGCAGCACCTTGTGCAGCTGGTCCACCGCGTCGGCCTCGGCAGACTCGGACGAGAGGTCAAACCACTCGTCAAACGACGAGGCAGACTGGAAGACGTCCGGGAGCAGAAAGTTGAGCAGCGCCCAGAGTTCATGCACGTTGTTCTGCAGCGGCGTGCCCGTGATGAGCAGCCGGTGCGCCGACGAAAAGGCCCGCACGTTGAGCGAGAGCCGCGATGACTCGTTCTTGATCCGGTGCGCCTCGTCGATGGCAATGTACTCCCACTCAAACTTGGAGAATGCCGCCCGCTCAATGTTGACCATCTCATACGACGTCACGCACACGTCAAAGTGGCCCGGCAGGAGCTGCTTCTCCACAAGCAGGCCGCGTTCGTGCTTGGCGCCGTAGAGCTTGAAGACTCGGAGCGAGGGGCACCACCGCTTGAACTCGTTCATCCAGTTGCCGATCGTCGACTTGGGCACAATGACCAGGTGCGGGCCGTTGATCCCCGCGCTTCCTTGAGATACCCGAGCAGCGAAATCGTCTGCAGCGTCTTGCCTAGGCCCATCTCGTCGGCAAGGATTCCGTTGATGCCGTTGTCATGGAGGTTGATGAGCCAGTTGAGGCCCTCGAGCTGGTAGTCGCGCATGGTGCCAAAGGCAATGCAGTGCGGCTGCGTCGTCAGCCGCGTCACAGATGGCTCGTGCTCCGCCGCCGCAAGCAACTCTGCATCCTCCTCGTTCTCCGTCCGCCGCCCACGGTGCGACTTGGACGGCGAGCCGGGCGCCTCGGACGGCGCCCCGGTCCCAGCCGTGCTCGCCGTGCTCGCCGTGCTCGCCGTGCTTCCGCCAGCCTTCTTTCCCTTGCGCGGCGATGGCGGGAGCTTGGCCGGAGCCTCGGAGAGAAAGTGCTTAAACAGCTCGGTCTGCGCCAGTAGGTGCCGCCGACGTGCCTCCGGCAGACCCTTGTTCCGCTCGCGGATGGCGGCGTTCTGCTTGGCGAGCTTGCGGTCACGCTCGTCACGAGGCATATCGAGCTAGCACCCCGCCCCATACCCACCAACCACACCATTCCATTGCTATAAGTCTGGGCACCCTGCTCATCACCTTTCCACCCACTCTCCTCTCCCCTACGCCCTGCTACTCCTTCCTCTCCCGCCACATACCCCCGTTTTTTGACTCCCTCTAGCCACCCTCCCCTCCCGCTGTCTTGTTTCAAACGATGGAATCTACGCTCTGGCCAGCCAGGGGGCTGGGGGGGGGGGGGGGGGGATGGAGAGGCACCACACCCACATCACCTCATCACCACTGACTGCTTCGTACCAGTGGCACTCCGTGAGAGCCAAAGTCTGGCTCGCCGGGCGTGTTCGTCCCGCTTGTCGCGGGCGAGGTCTCCATTGACTGTACGTCGGCCATACTGTGAGACGAGTGGCCTAATCGACCTCGCTTACTTTATCGTTGATTATCGATAAATCTCCTTCAGGTCGGCTTGCAGTTCGCCGGCGCTGCGGGGTGGGGGGGGGGTGGTGGGGGGTGGTG